CCAGCGGATCAGCACCGCGAAATCCAACGAGGAAATACGGCATCGATCATGAATGACAGCGCCGATGGGAGCGAATTTCAGTCAGATTTCTTAATAATAATATTATAACACCGAAGTGCGGCGTTTATCAGTTTGTGCCAGTGTTAATTAATTAACACTGATTATTGATTACTGATTATGTAACGGTACGTTACATAATCAGTTATCAGATTCACTATCCAAATATTTTATGGGCTTTAGTTTGATTGTATCAGGATCAACTTGTGTGATATAATTGCTGATGACATTGGAATACAATTGCGGAATTGTTGGTGTATTGATCAGATACTGTGATGTCTAGCGGTCAGCATACGGCATAACCTGCCAAGAATGGCGGGTGCAGTTGTGCTTATGGGATCCGCCGTGGCGCGTGGATGTGTTGGGTTCTTTCGTGGCCGGCTGCTGAGAATTTGTGCAAGGCGTATAAAAGAGAATGGATACTCGATCCAGCTGTGCATTCGTTAGTTTTGCCACTAGCGAGTGTTCTGCTTTTCTTAATTACCTTTCCCGTTTCCCCTGTAATTCTAACGCTAGTCACTGTGTGTGTCCAGGTGGGGCGAGCGCCGAAAATGTATAAAGCAGGATGGCTACCGGACGGCGGCGTCCTTTATGGCCGCACTTGTTTATAGAGTACAGCACGTACAGCATAAAGTACTGCAGCCATAAAGGAGGCTGCTGCTGCCGGCCCATGGGTGTATCCCTTACTCCGCTAACAGCACACGTGTTAGATTGTCCCTTGCCTACTTCCTGGATTGTCCGCTCTTTCCGTAGTAATTTTGTTTGAGGATGTACACGTCATTGCACCAGATGGCGACGCACCCGTTGGAAATACCACCGGCCGCTGGAATCGCTTCCCGCTGGGAAACAGCTCCGATGGGCGTGCGCTATTGTTAACGGTTACGACGTGCAACAGTTGTTCCCGTGCACAATCTCCCGCGCCTTCGAAACATCAGGATCAACGTTGCTGACCCGCCACAGCATCTGTTTATGGCTGCTTAATTACGGGCTTCCTTTGCTTACATTGATAGTTCTCTTTATTAGGTACGTTGTAGGTTGTACAACACAACGTCAGGAGTTGAGAGTAACGGAGGTTTCGCGCACCTTTACGCTTTTCAAATCCATGTAGCAAATAAGTCGTTTGGCTACCGCATAATGTCTTAATTAGTACAGTGGACAAAACGGTCTTTGGTTGTGGCAAAGAAAAACATTTAATTTGCTGGCGCACTATGCGTACGTTAAGACGTATCACGAAGTATCCATGGCATCTGGTAATGGTGTGTCGAGCAGATAGGTACGTATTTTGGTGAAATAAATTGTTTTATGCCAGCTGTAGTTATGTTGTTTTATGCATGCCGGATCGTGTGACGACTTACTGTAATAAAAAAGGCTATTATCCAATATTTATTCACATGCCCCCCACATCACACTAAGCACAATCACCCTTATTATGCTGCTTATTACGGTAACCACCGTATTAAATATACTCTGTACGTACAGTAGATTTCAATGTAATACAGCGAACTAATTGAAATCGATTCAAAAATCGCCGTCCCCGGGCTACCGGCGCCATTTAACCGGCCGCATTCGCTGAGGACGATATGCCAGGAGCCGGAGACGGCCGGCCGGCCCCCGCCCGCGGGGATCTGCGTTCACGTGGGTGACCATGCTCGAGTCGCCGGAGTTGCACGCTTCGCAACTGTCGTTGGGCGCTCGGTACTGATCTGTACAGCAAATATTTCGTCATTACTAAACCGGCATTTATCCACCATCAGCGGAAATCGTTAATATGCTGCGTAGCCACAATACACAAGATTATTCTGTTATCACCGGAGTTTCCTGGTATTAATAATTATGTTTCCTGGTATTAACTGTAAGGGAAGTCACCCGGTACATGGTACCAAATTCGTATGCGTGCACAACTCGTTCTTTCATCGGTTCACAGTTGCGTCAGTTTTTCTCCAGTTTTAAAATTACATAACTTTAAAATGTTTGAAATGCATTTAAAGTTGAAAAAAAAACCTAAAACCTCAGTTCGGTGTGAGGACGATCCTGAAACACAGTCATACTTACGTGCATGTATGTGTAAAATGTGGAGAAGAGCGGTACATAGTGAGACTTTTGCTACACCTAATTGCAATTAAATTTGATGGAGTATTCTGACTGCCGCAACTTCCCAACCGGATGTAACGCGTACAAAGAGTTTTCACGCCAGTGTATACCAATCATTTGGTTAAGCAATGTAATAAAGCAACGCAAAAACTTACGTAGGTATACTGACGTACGTAGTACGTACTACTCAATTTAAAGCAAATAAGTGAACTACCCTAAAAAAATTCCAAGTTCTCTTCTGCAGATTACTTTAAAAATTAAATATGTACGTGTTAAATGAATTTTTTAAAGAGTTTGACCGTTATTTGCTTGACAGCGTAATGTGTGCTGCAAAGAAAGGGGCCGTTGTCCTATGTTAATGCTACATGTAATATACTTACTACACACTTTAGAATAATAAGAATATGTCTAAAAGAAAAATCAATTCCCACGAATTTCCGCGACTTTATGCTGGTGGTATCAGCCGATTTGATCAGCGCTCGCGATATTTAAATACAATTGCGGCATTGTTTAACACTGATCGGATTGATGTCTAGCGGGCAAAGTACGCCACGAGCCTGTCAGGTTGGGTGCGAATCTTGTAGCAGCGATATCTTTCTCGGGGTGTACATATTGCTGATTGCTGAGTTAATCGGCCGGTGTGCGTCTGCGGCGTATATGAGCGCCTGGAGGCTCGATGAAGGACTGCATTCATTCATCTGCAGCTCGCGAGTATTTCGCTTTTCTGACCTTTCCAAATTCCCCTTCTAACGGTGACCGTGACGACGTCATGAATGGCATCTGTGTGTTCAGGCGATTGCAGCCTCTCCGTCGTATTACGGAACCGGCAGCTCTTATGGCGGGTATAATGCACAGAGCACTGTAGACAATACCTGCTATGAAGATCTGCTGGTAACTTATTCCACACTGCCAACTCCCTGTCAACAGCGCACGTATCCATTTTTATGGATTTTCCGTTGACTGTTTCCCGGGAGGTCCGCTCCTTCCGTTGCCATTTAGCTGGACAGAGTTAACGCGTTATTTCACCGCGTGCAGATGGCGAGCTGGCCATTGACCATAACCACTACAAAAACTGCCAGCCGCGGGAGCGGGCTCCGCTGTACAGATCCCGACTGGCGCGCGCTATTGTTAATGGTGCCGACTGGGAATAGTCAGTGCGATTTACAATGGCACGCGCCCTCACTGCAACGTCATCAGTAACGCTAAATGTACGCGTTTTCTGGCAGCCGGAATTCCTGCTCAGTGCTCCGGTCCACCTGGGAGAACGTTAGGTATTTCTAATTAAGCACTTCGTTCGCCTCTGTCTATTTTTGCGCTCGTAGTGATTTCTTGGAACAGTTGTACCAGCCAAAGGAAAGGCACTACTGTGTGTTAAGGCAGCGCCGGGTGCGGACCGGAAATGAACTTTATTTGGTACTTCCACAGGGCGAGCCGACCGGATATACCGGGAAAACGCGTGGCTCGTTCAGCGACCAGCAAGCTTAATCTGGCCCGTAGAGCAACCAAGCTCGGAAGCGGCAGTAGCCGCATCGATACGAAAGCTATGCGGCGTATAGTGCCGAGCCGATGGGATACCGTGCAACACCGATTTAAGGATAGCGGCAAAACGAGCCCGAGACAGAAAGGAACCGTCGAGATAAGTAAACAGTGGATAATTCTCCGAGAAGCCATTACCACGACGCAGTGCCCAGAATCTGAAGATAGCGCGATACGGGCAAACAGAGCGTTTAGTAGCTGAGAGAGACAGCACCGACCCGCGAGAAAATTGATCTGTTTTTGATCTTTTTATGTTTACAATCACCGAACTCCCATGAAAGAAGACATCACAGAGCAAGAGAGTGCGAGATGCGCAAAACGTGTGTGTGCTAGAAGCAGTAAACTCCCCAGGGCGAAGAAAGCCAAAGAATGCGGCATTACAAGCTGCCCAGAACAAAACCTTATCATATGATGCCAACTGAGAATCATTAATCACTACGATTAAATCTTTTTGCGCTCGTAGTGATTTCTTGGAACAGTTGTACCAGCCAAAGGAAAGGCACTACTGTGTGTTGTTTTAAGGGAGGTGCGCCGGTACATGTACACACGGCCGTACATGTACATATGTACCGGTACACGTACTTGTACATGTGTAGGCCCACCACAAAACTGCAATTCATTACGTACATTCCCGAAAACTTTCGCTTTCGCGCACTCCCAAACACCAGCTTTCCGCTTTTTTTATGATAATTTTCTGTAGCCAATAGATTTGTACACATCGCTGTGAGAACCACCTGAGTGCACATTATCCGGTTGCGAAGCATGCCTGACTTGGAGAAGGCTATTAATGTTAGCCCTCCTTCTAGCTTTTTATTCACATTCGCCCAACACCGAATTACCGTAAAACCCGATATTAACGCCCCCCCCCGAAATTAACGCCCCGTGCGGTTTTAAACGCCCCCTCCCGAAGCTCTCGAAATAATAGAAGCCCCCCCGAAATTATCGCCCCGGGGCGCCTAATAAATTGCGGCGCCCCGCTTTTTTAGAGCATTGTCGTTACAGTCTGAATGGTACATCTTAATTATTTAGGTGAATTCCATTTAAGCACACCCGTTAAACCATGATTTTCTAGCAAATGTCTTGGTTTCAAAATTATTCCTTTAATGTCCAAACACACAAATCTCGTTAAAACTTGAACATCATAAGCGCGATATTCCTTTGAAATATTAAACGCCCCCCCGCAATAAACGCCCCCTGCGGTTTTAAGCGCCCCCTCCCAAACCTCTCGAAAAAATAAAAGCCCAGGGCGTTAATATCGGGTTTTACGGTAAGTACCCGTACAATCATCGTTATTACAGTCCTTGGTCCGTACAGAATTACGGTACATATTGACTTTATCATAATATTATTGAATATTGAAAAAATACATTGATCGGCAGCGGCCAGGACACATATCTGTACACTTGCGCAGATTTACATTAACTAAAATTATCAAACTTTAAACACTGAAAAAACATCCAAAATCCGTAGAGATTTAAATGCAATACAGCGATCGGTCCAACAATCGTAGTCTCCGGGTTACGTTGAAATCAACCGGCGCATTCGCTGAGGACGATATGCCAGGAGCCGGCAACGGCCGGCCGTCCCGCCCCCAGGGATCTGCGTCACGTGGGTGACCATGCTGGAGTCACCGGAGTTGCACGCTTCGCAGCTGTCGTTGGGCGCCCGGTACTGATCTGTACAGCAAATATTTCGTCATTACTCAATCGGCATTTATCCTTAATCAGCAGAAATCGGTATCATGCAGCGTAGCCATAATCGAAAGATTATCCTTGTATTATCACCATAGCGTACATAATTAAATTTTATTTCCCGTGTATTTAAGGAAAATGGCCAGGCCCGGTACATAGCGTCGAAAATGGGATACATACATTAAAACTTTCGCTTGCGCGCACTCCGAAGCACTTTTTTGTAATACTTTATTTATGTCATTCTAAAGCTAAATGATTTGTATACATTGTTCTGAAAACCGTTTGCGCGCGCAACTTCCGGTTGCCGTCATAGACTTACTAAAATGGGTGACTCGTTCTTATAGTGACTTTAATACAGAACCAGGCTGCAGCATTTTTTAAACGTTAAAAAGGAATTAAGAAATCTTTAAGAAATTTTAAAAGGAATTAGGAAAGAAAAGGAATTAAGAAATCAACTTAAAAATTAAAAAATTCTAGATCAGCGGTTCGGTGTAAGCGATCCTTATATCAATGTCCGTGTACAGAATTTACAGAAATTCGAAGAGATCGGTTGATAATGAAACCGTTTAACACACTGATGATATTCGTATATACTTTTCAGTTCATTTCTGTAATTCATGCACATGATGTTTGCGATTTGAACGCACCTCCGACAAAGTACATCTGCGTGGTGATGGTCCGGCCCACCGGCTGACCGTTGGCGTCGATGGGCGTGATCTTCCAGTGGACATGCGCCGGCCGCCAGCCGCTGTCGTAGTAGCGTCCCGGCAGGATACTGGAGAAGGCGTAGTTGCCGCGCTCGTCCGTGGTGAAGCGCGACCGGCATGTCTGACCGCAATTATTCATTATTATTTCATTTTATCATTTATTTTGTATTCCTTTACACACTCATCATTCATTCATCCATCAAATTTTAGATGATTTTTTTTCACTACATAGTTGCTACTATTTGCGTTATAAATTTAATGGTTATCACTTAAATGCATTATTACTAATTTAAGCACGCTTCGCAGGGCGAATTAACTGTATGTAGACAGATGCCAGAAAATTATGCAACGAAAATACTGGAGAACTGAAATCAGACGATTGTACTCGTATAAGTCGCATTAATATTTGCTGTATGTGCATAATATTCCAGTACAGAAATCTAACAAAATAGTCAAAAGTAACTTTGTATATATAAAAAATAAAATGTGCGAACACTGCATATACGAGGAAAAAAAAAACAGAAAATAATATTTTCTACATATAACCATACAATAACCGAAAAAATTCCAAAAAACTAAAATGATTTATGCATACAAAAATGTTTAAATGCACAAAAATATTAGCAAACAGAAACATTATCGTGTAGATATCAACAAGAATTTGCGAATACTGCACAGAATAGTACAAAATAAACGAAAAAGAAATGCTATAAATTACTTTATAAGAAGCATGAAGCACGGCACATAAAAAATTTTACAAAATAATTACTGGTATATATAAAAACAGTTGTTCAAGAAATGTGGAAATGCGGATTTACAGTATACTCACAAAATCCGGGGATTCGGGCGCGATATTACTATAAGCCCCGTTGACATCCGCCGACCAGACGTCGAGGAGCGCCCGGATCGGGGATCCGCAGGGCTGGTCGGGCGTGACCTTCATGACGGTGCCGTTTAAATATAACCGCGTGCCGGGCAGGTTCTCACTGCACACCGTCGGCTGATTGCCACTGCCGCGGCCGAACGGCGAATTGGGCTTGTAGTAGGGACCCTCCATGTCCGTGCCGGTGGCCCGCATCAGCCGCGGCTCACACGGGAACGAGCCCGGCGCCGGGCGCTGCGCGGTCACCACGCCCAAAAATACCACCAATAAATACCGCATTTTCTGTTAATAAATTTCGTAAAAATTCCAAATGCATGAAAACCGGAATGTTCCGGAGGTTTAAAAAGCCGGTGAAAAAGCGCTGAAGCGGCTGATTAAATTGCGGTGTGTTGATCGAAGGGATCAGCGTACAAACAACGGCAAAATGTGCGCGTACACAAAACGCGGCGGTTTGTGCAAATATTACGTAAGACAAAGCGGCCGCCTCGAGAGAGGCGCTATTGTCGCGTGTGGCGCATCACTTCAATCTTCGTCCTGAGTATTTCCGCTCATCAACACATTCCTCAGCCAGCGACAGACGCCGGCACAATAAGAAAACACACGCTTTCAACGATGAGAAAGAAAAGCAAAAGCGTGCGATTTAAAAATGAAAAAAAGCTCCATAAATTAGAGACAGAAAAACGCGGAATAACTATCACATGAGATTTCAAAAATTGTAAACTAGCAAAATTTCCATCATCATAAAAACAGCCAAAAAAATTCAGGATCATTTTTAAAAAAAGCCGCGAAAATCAAGGAATCCGTCAGGAAAAATGCGATGTAAAAATTCCACGAAAATTCCGAAAAATCCGATAAAACATCCGGAAAAATTCGGATCATTGTAGAACATCCAGGAAAATTTGAACCGTCACCAAAAAAAGATGGAATCAGCCCGGAAAACGCAATGTAAAAAATCCAGAAAAATAAAAAAAATCCGGAAAATGCGATGCAAAAAATTCCAGGAAATCCAAAACATTCCGCCGAAAAATCCGATAAAAATTCCAGAAAAATTTGAATCGTCATAAAAAAGCAATGGAAAAAAAACGGACTCCGTCCGGAAAACGCGATGCCAAAAAAATCCACAAAAGAATCCGTAAAAGTCAATGCAAAAAAAAATCCCAAGCAAATCCCGGAAAATCCGATAAAAATTCCGAAAAATCCCAAAAAAATCCCCGGAATTCGATAAAAATCCCAAAAAAATCCAGAAAATTCCCAGCATCGTCGGGCGTCATCCTCACCGGCCCAGATCAATATTACTGGTGTTATGGAACGTGTTCAACATGTGGAACATGGCGCCCAACGCCCACGACGTCTCCACCCCGTCAATCTTCTTCCGCAGCACCACATCCTGGTCCACCCGCAGCCCGAGCCCCTCCAGCAGCAGTGCGCTGATATAGCACAGATCCATACACAGAAACGGCCGCCCCTCCCCCCGCCCCTCGCGGCACACCGCCTCCGCCGTGCTGCGGAAGACCCCGGCCGGCACCTGCCCCCCGGCGACGTGCGGGATGATGCGCGCCTCCACGGCGATGTCGTAGAAGTAGGAGAAGGCGTAGAAGGACTCGCGGGCCACTTCCGGCTGGTGGTGGATGGCGCGGGAGACGATGAGGGAGGCGCGGGCGGCGCAGGCGGCGAAGGGGTCGGCGGAGGGGGCGGCGTGGACGCGGTACTCGGTGGAGGCGTGCTCCCAGGGGACGGGGTGTGGGGAGAGGATGCAGGGGGAGGAGAGAACGTTGGAGACGGTCTGGACGGCCTCCAGGGGGGTCTCCAACGGGAATCCGAACATCTGCATCCTATATATGAATAATTCTGAAATTATAATTAATTCTGAAATTAATTTAAATTAAAATAATCATTCAATAAAATCACTACTTATTAAATTTAACAGGCTCATAAAAATCAACTCAACTGTAATTACTTATTTGATTACCAATCAAAATTAACAATTGATTTCAAATTAAAGAGCTCAAAGAAAAATTTAAAAATCAAATTTTTAAGTCGGATTATAAAACTAAATTTAAGTTGAATTATTTATTCGAAAAATCCAAAAAAAAGTTTAAATTTAATGGCTCAAATTAAAATTAAAAAATCAAATTAAAATTTAAAATGCAGAAACCCAATTACTCAAATCAATTTTAGAAATCCATTTTACTTTACCTAACTATTCAATAAAAGTTTCAAAAAAAGAATCCAAATTTAACGGTTCGAACAAAGGCCAAAATCCAATTAAATTTCAAAATTACATTTTTAATTTAAACTTAAAAATCAATTTTAATTTGATTATTTTATTTATTTGTACGTATAACCCAAAAATGATCTGAAGCTAACGCTTCGAATACAACCTGAAAAATCAAATTTAAATTACAAAACCCAAAATTTAAATTTAGCAATCGATTTTAACATAATTGTACCGTATATTCGACAAATTCATAAAATAATCCAAAATTAACGACTGAAGAAATCTTTAAAAAATCGAATTAAAGTTAAAGAACTAGCTTTAAATTTACAAATCAACGCCAGCTGAATTGTTTACTGGAAAACTTCAAAATTAACCCAAAGTTAAATCGAAATTCAAAGAATCAAATTTTAAATTTTGAAATTCTATATTAGATTTTAATTGTTAATCGCAATTGTAAGAAAACCGGGAATTTACACTTTGAAAACCTAAATCATAACGTAATTGATAGCATTTGTAGAAATACGGGAATTTACCTGGCGGACATGAGGCCGAAGCCGAGGTAGCTCCAGGAGTAGAGTTTGAGCCGTTCGCCGAAGATCTTGACGTGGTGGATGCGGTCGGGCGGGGCCTCGTCGATGGTCTGGTCGTAGAGCGGGACGAAGGTGATCTGCATGGAGCCGCCGCCCAGGTCCAGCGTGCCGAAGGTCTGCCGCTTCAGCTGCTCGCGGCGGAACAGCCGCTCCGTGTTCTGCTCGGCGTCGGGCTCGGCGACGGCCAGACACTCGTCCGGCGTGTCGTAGTGGTGGTGCAGGGTGTTCAGGAGGAAGTTGACGGTGATCCAGCTGTACAGGCCCTCGTCGATGCCCTCCATGATGCTGATCTGTCCACCACAAACGCCATGTTATTATTGACAAATTAATTTCCAACAGAAACACCAGCATCACTGAAACACTACAGATCTGTAATTGTTTTTTGCATTTATTTTTCCCTATTATTTAAATTAAATTTAAAAAGAAACAATAATATTTTTTCAGACAGCAACTATTTTTACAAGTATTTTCCGCTGTTTTTTTAAAATTAAATTACAAAAAAGATCGTTGGGAGAGTAACTTTTTGACATCATTTTTGCTTAATTTTTAAATTTAATTTAGAAAGAAATAAAAATATCATTTAGATAACAATTTTTTGCAGTCATTTTTTTCTATTATTTAAAATTAGTTTAGGCAGAAAATAAAAATCTCTGCTGATTTTTATTTTTAAGCAGAAATAAAAATCAGCAACTATTTTTCCTTATTGTTTAAAATTAATATAAAAAGAAATAAAAATATCGCTGAGACACTACACATGTTACAGATATTTTTTCCACCCGAAATCGATTTGCTTATTGTATGTATTTATTTGTGATTTACCGCGTCGTCATGGCTGAGGACGAAGGGGCTCTCGTTGTGCAGCCAGGCCTTGGCGTGGTCGAGGATGCGGTCCTGAACAAACGCCGGAAGCAGGCGTAATCCCGCCGTGGCCTTCAATTCCAGCGGCGTGCTCTTCCAGGCGTAGGGCGGCACGCAGTCCTTGGCGCGCGCCACCAACGGCGCCAGGTTGTGCACGACGGACGCCGGCTCCGCCGCGTAATACGACAGACCCGGCTGCAACCAACAAACACACCTGACCGACCGATCACGGAAAAACAGCGAGAAAAACCACATGAAAACTAAGCCATTAAATAATAAAAATTCCCAATAGCAAATCCAGTTTAAACAATTTAACTTCCCACCGGCAATATAATTACAAACAGAAGAAACTGAAAAACACATAACTACAAACAACAACCAAAATTTGAAATCATTTGAAAAAAATTCAAGCAAGAACTCCGCCAACAACAGATAAATTATACATAAAAAAATGCAACTCAATCTAACAAAATAAAATTAACCACAATTAAACAAGTGATTTAAAATTGCTTAAAAATCCCCTCCAAAGCGGGCAAAAAACTACAGCTGAAAAATGGAAGAAAAAATTAAAAAGGGATTTTAAATTGCCGAAAAATTCCTTCCCAACCGGGCGAAAAAGTAGAGCTGAAAAATGGAAAATAAAATTAGAAACGATAAAAAAAATGATTTTAAACTGCAGAAAAATTTCCTCCCAACCGGGCAACAAAATACAGGTGAAAAATGGAAAAAGAGCGACGTTACCTTGACGTGTTTGCCGCACTCGCTGATGAGGCGCATGAAGGGCGGCCGCGCCGCCTTGACGAAGTGGAAGGCGGACAGGCGCGTCCCGGTGGAGCCGGCGTCGATGATGATGCCGTACAGCGAGCCGGTGTAGTTGCGCGAGCGCAGCTGCGGCAGCTCACCCGACACGCGCTCCTCCACGGCGTACCCGCGCTTAAACGCCGACCGGCTCGAGTAGTGGCCCGCTAACAAATTAGACAACAACTGCATATCCCAAGTGAAAATTCTTACAAAAATTAACGTTTAAAACCTGCCAAAAAAATTGAAAAAAAGGAATTCCGAAAAAATGTCACATACAATTTGAATTTGCCAATAATCAATCAAAACTTTATGTTCAAAATTAAAATTCAACTCAAATCAAAACTGCAAAATTATAACAACGAAAACATCTGCAAACAGTAGTATAAACACTAAAAAAATAAGTATTTAATTTAAACCAAATAGGCAGAAGTTCAAATTCAACCAGCCAGAGATTATGGCAAAAATTACAGTAACAGAAAACATTGCAGTCAAATTCAGGTAAATGAATTTAATTCATGCACAATTTTGCTAGAAAAAACTAAACAGAAAAATTCATAGAAAATGTACGGAAGAATCGAGTAAGAAAAATCCGAGTTTAAATAAACTGGAAATAAAATCACTGAAACAATATAAATAAAATAACTAAATTAAAAACTGAAATAAATGTCAAAGAATTTGAAATTAATAAAAGAGCTTCTTACATTCTATCTGTACAAATAGCCATCAAAACAGCGCTGATAAAAAGACACTGGCCAACATTCACCTGCAAGAAAGGACGGGCCCGCGGTCTCGGCGTACTCGGAGAAGGGAAAGTGCGAGTGGACGTCCTGACTCCAGAAGGGAGTGTTGCGCGGCGAACTGTCCGTGTCGTTGGGCTCACTGCTTACCCGCCACAACACCCACTGCCCCGCCAACAAATGCACCACCGACACGACGAAGACGGCGCGCACCAGGCCGTGCAGGCGGCCCCGGGAGGGAGGGGACGCCGCGGCCATTTGAGGCATGGCGGGCGACCCAAGGGATCAACAGCACACACGATCAATCTTCCACAATTCAACAGGCCCGGCGGGGAACCAGCCACCCACCGCAGACTGCCATCGGACGGATTGTAGAACCAAGTGCCACGGTTGATAAAAAGTGCTGAGGGAGCGGTTTACTCAAGTGTGAGGGTGGCCAGGAAAAACAGGATGCGATACGTGTCCTGTGTCTGGGTTCCTCGACACCGTGCAAACGAATAATGAGATGAGGAAAGGCAGTGGCGCCCAGATCAGGACAGATCATAACCTGACAGAGAAGAATGAAGCGGTGACATTATGGAAATAAAACACAAAAGTGGCTGTACAGTGTACACGCAACTCGCAGCATTACTCGAGGAGACAGAAAAATTTTTGTAAATCAACCATGCCCATGCGATCCACTTTCACTCCCATGCAAATGCAATCAATTCCGCCGTGCAGCGTCAATTCAACTGCACGCTAAGAAAACGTGCGGTAACCTTCCCCCGCGGGCGGTAACCGACAGCGAATAGTGCGCCTTAGATCGACCGCCAGCAGATGTGAGTCTCATTAAATACCTTGCGAATTCTTTTTTTACCGTTTGTCATACTAGTACCAGTGTATATTCAGAAGATTTAAGAGCCCTTAGAAGATTCAGAAGATTCAGAAGATTCAGAGCTTCAGATTCAGAAGATTCAGATTCAGAAGATTCAGAAGATTCAGATTCCCTTTATTCAGAAGATTCAGAGCCCTTCTAATTACCCCGCTAGTACTATTATGTATTATATTTTGGCACAGCTTCATTCCCCAATTACTCGTACATACATGAACAGGAATCTCAATGTACGAGTAGAATTTGGGTATATGGAGAAAAATTGTTTAAATTTCGCAGCCATAATGTTTAAATTTCGCAGCCATAACCATACGGATGACTGGAGTCGTCGCTAATAATATAAATCGGACTGAATATAATCGTCCCTAATCATAAACATTAGTGAGTCGGCGAAGTCCGCCTGGGCAGGCGACCGGGCGCCGTTTAATCGAGGGAGCAGACAGAAATTCGTTAGACACAAGCTCTGTCTAACTCTGTACTCTTGATTAAAAGCGGTGCCCGTTTTACGGTTTACGGCGGACTTCGCCGACTCACTATACTAGTAGACCGACTGACCATTTCCGGTCTTTCCATCAGCGCCAAAAGTAAGTCAAATGGCAATTTAACTAGCAGTACAGTTTAATCAGAATATTAACAACACGGTAATTAACACGATACGGACAGACAAAACATGGTACCCGTACAGGTAAAGGCAAGCAAGCAATTTACAGCATAGTATACATGCATTTCGCTAAAAAACCATCCACGGGATCGAGGTACCGAGTATAGAAGTATAGATCATTTTGCATAGTCAGTTGTATGCAGTGATGCCTTCGATTACACAACGCAATCATGCATTCGTGATTAATTATTAATGACCTGTGCAGCTGTGCGTAATTAACTACTGCTGCGGCTGCGCGAAGTGGACGAATGCTTTTTGGGTAAACCAGTGGCGGTGGCGGAGATGCGTGCGCAGACAGCAATACACCCACGCCGATGTGCGGTCTCCTCGCTCTTGCTGATAGTCAGGGTGTTGGCGCATAGGGGATCAGCGGCGCCGGGCGCCGACACGTACGTTAAAGGTGACGGAGCCGGTGAACAAGCCCGGGACTTGATAGCCGAGCAGATCGGGATAGGGCGCCGCCACGTAGTAGTAGTAATACTTCCCAGTGAAGTGCGACGCGGGCGGCGTCCAGCTGCAGTCGACACGGCCGCTGCACGTCATGGAGACGCCCCATCGCGGTGTGGATACGTCGCGCATGGGCTCCGCGAAGACATCCTGAGCGCGCAGCTGCAGCTGCAGGTGAAACTGGCGCAAGACGCAAAGGTCACCGCCGCCATGACAGAGCAGGAAACACGCCACCGTGTCGGCAGCGTCGCGGCTGACGTTGTGGATCACGAGGAAGCTGGTGTTGGCCGTGGAGAACTGTTGGTAGAACTGGCCGTTGGGGGAATCGGGAGCGTTAACAGCGTGGAGGGTGGCGTTGTGGTAGCGCCAGACGATGCGCTGCGCCACTGCTGCCGTTGCGGCGTCGCAGAAAAACCCCGTGAAGCCCCCCACGAGGACTCGGCTGACGGCATCGGGCGCTAGCTGAACTCTCGGCCCGGCGTCCGCGGCGTCTTCCAGAACATGCATCCAGGTTGACGATGTTGTCCGTCATGCGGGCTTCGGCCAGATCCACGTCCATGCCTAGACGCAGACGTTGTACTGCAAAGCAAACCGTGACGTAGCTTCGTACATGATGATACGATGCACGTTAAAAGCAGATGCTGTGGTCTAACTCGGATACAGCGAACTAGCGATATGATGCGCATTGGCTGTGTTCCTGTTGCAACCTGTATAATATATTGGTTCACTTTGGAATCTTTTGAACCGGGGACGGACTGATAAGCCAGTCAGCGGATACACTGCAGAAACCCAAAAAACGGAAAAATTCGCCGGTCGGTATGCAGTTCAAAAATTTAATAAGTACCGTCAAACCAACAAAGTAATCGTGTACACGCACACGGAGCGCACTCAATGCGCATAAATCGCAAGTGCACCTGCCACCTGGTTTGCAGTTGCACAGAGGAGCGATTATATAAGAGAAGAGACCCGGAAGAGCCAAATTCGCTTGCGCGGCATTTCCAGATACTTTTTTTGCATTGTTTTACGACATTCTTTGACCACACCCAACGATTTCTATAAACGCTGGCGTGAAAGCCGTTTGTACGCGTAACATAGGAAAGGAGGAGTTAAAGCCAAAAGGTTAATCAGCATTCTAAAAGTTCGACGAAATGTCACACCCCCGGTTGTCCGGGTGCGAGAAGGCACTCGACAACAAACTGCCATAAATCAATGCAGAAACGTGTTTTTGAATATTTTTTAAAACAAAAAAGTGAATCTGAGTATTTTCTCGTTCATGGACACGAATTTGGTGCAACCGCCACGAACCAGGTGACTTCCCTTAATCGTTTTGCGTGATATGCGTATAAATAGAGTATCTACCTTTTTGTAGTTCTGCATTGTACTCGTATTTCGGTGGGTGAAGGGTAATGTCCGAACTTACCAGGGTTCTGACCGCCGAACGGACAGCCGTTGACGCCGTACCCCGATACACGGATCAATATTCGCAGTAAGATAATATTGCTGTAGCGCATGCTGCACATTATCGTCCCGCGGGAGGCGCTCCCCGGGACACGCAGAGTCGTTCTCCTACCAAGACAGCCAGCCGGCGTTGTGTTCGGCGGGGACGTGGATATGATGGTCACTTCTGCCGACACTGGATGGTATTATCTATGGCAGTATGACTGCGTTAGAATGCCAAATTTCGTATAAAGGAGGTACTTGCTTTATTTATTGCAAGTTACAGGTGAACGGGAAAGCCAACACTGATACTTCAATCAATGGACTGCATGCAAGAAAACCTAAAGCACTGCAATCATTTTCAGCATGATGCTGGGCGCTGAAGCCTAGCATTATGCTGGACCCAAGAAAAAGCAAGAAAAGCCCATGAAAAGTTGCGGAAACCAAAACTAAAGCATTGTAATCGTTTTCAGCACAGGGTTGCGGTTGCGCAGGTGCAGTATAAATTGAACTCTGTAATGTGAATCGAACTGAACAGTGGCAAAATGTACGGTGGAAAAAATGAACGGTGGACTAAATGAAGGGACACGCCATAAATGCTAACTTGGAACCGCGCTTCAGCAAAGGCAATAACTATTGGAAGATGTCCAGCACGTCGACAACTACACGGAACAGTACAGTGTATATGCTGTATATACCATATGCTGTATATACAGTACAGATACATTCTTATTTTTATGCTTGAAAATGCATGAGCCAGACTTTTGAAATGAGAACTGTTCACTTCGGCCTTCTGGTAAGTTTGTTTTTCCAGGAAATTCTAATACGTACATGCTGACCAAAATATGAAATCGTAAACTTACAGTGACCCAAATATGGAACTACTGTAAGCATGTCAGGTTTTTTTCGAATTAACCCATGGCTGTGCAACGGAATGGATGCCAGTTAAAGCCAATCACGCGCAATTGCCGGCTTTTTGGCAGGCCTCCTCCACCGTAGGGAGATGTTTGCTGATTTCGAAGTGCCATCGGCAGAACATCAGATACTGCAGGCATTTAACAGACTGGCCTCGCTTCGGTTGCTGTGCAACTGGTTGATTTAACGGTAACCGTCGTATGCCGAGCAGTTTTGCCGGTATAAAAGCCCTGGGGAAAGGAACGATGAATTAGATAGGGTATTTCTAGTTTCCTAGCAGGCCATTTATTTGTAAACGCCGGCCTATAAAAAATCCATCGTTCGTCTAATGGAAAGGAGTGATGTATTAGCAGGCAGCTCATGTTGCCGCCGGATGGTTTTGACACGAGCTCCCACTTCATCCATACCGTTAGCGGCGACAGGCCGACACCGACGGGATGGGGTGTCTGTTTATCTGGAGACTGGAGATACGACTGCCGGCTCGCGAAGGCGCCTGCGCGAACGGTACGTGCGCTGAACTTTCGCAGCTAAGGTATCCATAGGGCGCCCGCGACGGCGACACCGTCACCGCGGCCACGCACAGTTCCCGATCGAAGTCTTTTGCGCAGCCATGCTGACCATCAACACAAGTTATGCAAAGAGCGTTCCGAAAGTAACCTTCCCTCTTTGCCTCTTAGCCCATAGAAATCATGTAAAAATAATATAGTTTCGCTGCCCAAGCCATTTTCTAATCTGTCCAGGGAAATAGAGATTAGATTCAAAATAAGCGGTCATGCGAAAATAAGTACAGCACCTGTAGGCATTAATGTGTATGGATGAGGTGGTTTTATTTCAAAATACGGGTACATCACATATCAAAAGTAGTTAGTCACAAATTCACAACAACAGAATCTCTTTCGATTAATGGTAAGTACCATAAGTGTGTAAATCGAAGGCGCTTTACTTATTTGCATTTTGTATTCTTAGGTGTTAAACTTAGTGTTAGGTATTTTTACGTGGGCTCCTTAATCACGGGCGTGTCTACCCATATGGTGCTTATCGATATTCGGTGCTGCATTCACACCGAGAGAAACAGAATACAGTAAAACCTCGGTATTACGTACACTCTTAGGCACGTACAAGTACACCCTCTGAATTGAATACAGTTAAGGTCGTACCAAAATTACTGTACAAGCGGTAAAATGCCCCTGAATTCCGTACACCTCTTAGTTACGTACGAATTTTTCTGTACGGAGGGTGTACGTGAAAGCGAATTTTTACTGTAAAGCAAATTATGCACTTACGTTAGGGCCGCGTACGTACTAACAATCATCATCCCGTGTAAGTGCATGCATGACAAAGGATGCAATCGCTGGAAACCGATCCCTTCTGCGCCATACGTTGATCGCTGTCACGCACTCGCGGCGTCAGATACCGATGTACGTAGAGATGCGACACAGCCGAATGCGCAGCTATGAAAGAAGTCTCCTCCGGAAGGTCTCCGGTAGTCAAGGCCGGAGCGCGGTCCGAGGGATGGAGAGTGCACAATTCGGCTGCATCTACTGTGTACTAACATCTCCGGTACAGTCTTCAGTTTCCACAGCAACTCACTGCAATCATTGTAGTAAGTTGAGCTTCTTGCTGAGGAAAGCGGTATGGCGCCACCAGGAAACTCCCGTTGTAACTTGTACTTCCCAATAAAGCTGTGTTCGTAAACGCCTACCGGCGTTGCAGTCGACGTGCCCGCTGCACGTCATGGAGAACTTGAGGACACGTTGCGCAGGGTCCCGAGGAAGATTTCGTGGAAGCGCAGCTGTGGCTGCAGCTAGTAGTTAACGCCGCCATGGTCTTTTGCTCGTCCACATGACTCGTGTAGCTGATGCCGCGCGTTCAAACGCAATACAAAACACAAGCAATGCATATAACACCCGTTGGCTATCGGGCGGGAAATACTATGCAAAACCGTCCGTTCGGTACAGTCTCTAATATGATACGGCATCCGGCTAACACGACAAATTCCGTCAGCGATGTTTTGATGTTTTTTTAATATGTACACTGTACATGTTCTGCTAATACTGTCTGCGCCTGTACTACTGTTGTATTATCCTGCATTGATATAAACACGGAAATGACAGATGGAAAAGTGAAAACAAAATTTAATCAGATTAATCATATTTTAATGAGTAAAACATACTCGTACTATATATGTAATTATGTAGGGCAGTGTCGTACGGGGAGCAAATCTGCTCCTGAATTCATGAGTTGCCAGGCAGCCGCAGTACAACGACGCCATGGGCTGCCGTGGGACAGTGTTGGTGCTTGAATCGGTTGCATTTTCCGTACAGCTGCAGCATGAAGCACCCTATGCGCATTATGGTAATACCAAGCCTGAATTCAGTCGAATCCTGGTGGCATAAAAATATCTAAGAGTTTTGTTGTGGAGTTCTTCAGTGGCACGGAACTTCGTGCAATTTGATGCACCCATTACGTAGGGAGATGATGGACGGCACGCTTCGCAGAATCCTTTTAGCGGGAATGTTGGCAACTGTGATAAGTCGTGTGGCGCGAGGCGACAGTGCTGGACAGCCGCTGACAACACGTAAGTTTTTTTTGTCGTGACCTTTGACGGACATACAGTGTCACGCGAAGCCCAGTCTTGACGTTGCAGTGCAGCGTGCCGCGTTGGCGGTGCAGCAGGCCGAAGCCAACATGACCGACAACGTCGTCATCCTGCCCTCCTTCAAGGACGCAGCTGCCGGCGCGCCCCCTCCGGTCAATATCGTTCGTGTCCCGTTGGGAGCCACGGCGACCTTCTCTTGCGATACCGCATCCGGGCAGTCGATCATCTGGCGCTTCCACAACGACACCATCCGTGGCGACGTTGCAAAACATTCTCCGAAAGGTCACTACTACCGGCTGACGTCCAACCGCAACACCTCCCGCTTCCTCATCCACAATATGACCCGCGACGCCGCCGGGACGGTAGAGTGTCTCCTGCCCTGCCATGACGACGCTGACCTTTGCGTGCTCCGCCAGTTCGAGCTGCAGCTGCAACAGCGGGCTCAAGAAGTCTTCACTGAGCCAATGCGCAACGTGTCTACGCCATTGTGGAGCTTCTCCATGACGTGCACCGGGCGCGTCGACTGCAGCCAGGCGGGCTACGCAGAGCATTTTATCTGGAAGTTCGACGAGCGCTTCTTGGTGGCGCCATATCGCTATCTGCAGACCATCGCCGGAAATTCGCACGTTGACGGTCTGCGGTCCTTCAGCATCAGTCACCCCGTTTCGGAAGACGGAGCTGCCGATCCCGTCTGCAGCAGCACGCTGACCATCGCCATGGCCGAGGTGGTCAGCAACTGGTCGGCGCGGGTAGACTGCTGGCTCCGCACCGATGTTCGCCGCCACGAATGGTTCGTCCAGTCGGCGTACGTCCATTTCACGCCGTTCGCTGCACTGGACGATACCGATTTATAGATGTACAGAGAGCAGTAGCACCTATTCCCTCTGTTGTTTACCGTCATCCCGCATACGCTGACGTTGCTGGTAAGTAATGCATGGTGATGGCCGTTACCTCTGTAGCTGCTGCGTCCGGTAGTACTAGTTACTGCTACTTGTAGCGGTGCTGGTTGTGGTAGTGGTACCTTGTCATAGAACTGGTACAGGAAGTGGTAGCAATTACGATACTGGCACGGGAAATAGTGTTATCGGAAATCATTACGATGTCGCTTACTTGTCAACAAATATGCGATATCGCAATGATTTCCGGTATCACTATTACCGTCCCGGCTGCTGGCGCGGGTATCGTAATTTTCTTCGGTTGCGAAATACAAGCTGCAGCCGGCACACCAAAGGGCGCTGTGGAAGTTACGGAATTAACAATTAAGTTTGTTTTTTGTTCCACCTGATGTACGGACGGCTGTTGTACCGGGTGGCTGAGAAAATGTCGGTCTGGTTTACCACAGGCTCCACAGGTCCATTGCTTGGCTGACATCATGGCAATTTCATTCAAAAGATCAACGTTTATAGCATTCAAAAGAACTAAAACAAAATCGTAAAAAAGTTCGAATTTTTTTTTATAAATTAGTTTTTAAAAAATGGGTGGATTCGAAAGATGAGATTAGTGCATGTGAGACGATGGTGTACAAACACGACAGTTACGCGAGCTGGTCGTGATTATTTTAAGAATCTTTCACTAGCAAATAGCGCAAAAAATCTTTCATGTGCACTAGCAATGTACTGACTCATGGTAAGATACCTATTGTACGCTTAAATTCAGTCATTTTGCTGTGATAGAAATTAAATACCAACGTGGCGTCGGGTATAATTCTATTATAAATCATCAGCGTACACTAGTACGTATCAAAAATTAACAAAGTAGCGGTCAAAACTTATGAAACGTTTCCCATATTGCGCTGTTTTGCTGTTATGTACAAGAAAACCGTTCATGAAATGATGACAGCTATTTCAGAAAGTATTTAATAAAAATTTTGCTTTCGCTTAGTTAATCAACGGTTAAGCGATGTCCTAATTATTCCCTGCAACGCTACTACCTGAGTACCGGCTTCAGCATCGTAATCGCTACCACGACCATTTATTTACCAGTACCATGGCATGGCACCGCTAACGGCACCACCATCAGTAACGGTACCATTCTCGCTACCACCGACAATAACAGCACCAGCGCCAGTAACATTAACTAGTACGCACTACCCTTGATGCGTCTTCTCTTCCGGTTGCGATTTTTTGTATGATTATTCTTAACAAATCATATTTTCATCATCATTTTTATGTCTTTGAACTTGATGGCAATGTTTAATTAGTTGTGCATCCATTTTACCGCCTGCTTATATGTACTCGTAGATTTTCCGTCGGTTGCCCTACTGTCCCATTCTGTTCGTTGAAGCAAATAAAAATGTCTGAAGAATACTACAATGTATTGTTAATCAAACTCCTTTCGATAATTTGGATTATTAAGCGTGTCCTAAGCATGGACACAAAGTTTCAGAAGTGGGTATAGGGTAATATTAGAAGGACTACCCGAGTAGGTAAATCATTTCATGAGGCATTCAGAGCGGCTAGAATGGGGGTTGTTTTAATTCACTTTCGACTTTATGGGAATGTGCCTTTTGCAGCAAAGTTTCAAGAAGATCGTGTAATAATCAGACTTTTGGTACACAACAATGCATTTAAACTTTCCACCTACTTTAATTAAAGTAGCTGGAAAGTTTAATACGCCATATCTCGACAACCGGATGTTGCGCGCAAAAACGGTTTTCAGAATGATGTATATAAATCATTTAGCTTTAGAATAACATAAAATATTACCAAAAAAGTGATTCGGAGTGCGCGCAAGCGAAAGTTTTAGTGTACATATGTGTACGATTTTGGACGCTATGTACCGGACCATTGTCCTTAGGGCGCTTACAAAGAACATGGTAGCGCGATGCATATTATGCGGTGTATACTGTACCATTATAAGTAGTGACCTTTTCGCTTCCACGTGGGAACACCACTTAGGCGCTTTAACGCACACAGAACGTTTTGTTCAACTTGTAAAATATCCTCGTAGTACAGGTATCTAGATGGTGGCATTACTGGCATACCGAGAAAGTTGACAAAATATGTCTTGGAACCGGTTCGTAGAATGATCTGTATTCCTCAAAAGAAATACTTAAGTATTTTGAAGCACAAAACAAAAGCCCGTGCATGCAGCCAGCACTTATGTTTGCCCGTGCACACGGCATCGACCTTATTATACCGTATCGTCGACTATCGCGATATACCTACAGAGTAGATTTTCATAAAATTTAATGTAAAAAAAAATTATATGATGAAACCATGCAACTACTTCACGTTTTTATAATAAAATTCATAGCCAAATAAGGCTGCATATTGTTGTGTTGGGAACTGGAGCCGGTTCTTGCTGTTTTCTGGTTTTGGTCTGCAAACCCTGGTTTAACAATGGGGACATTCTTTTTGGGCGCCCCAGCTGCAGGGACGGGCACAGGCAGCGTCTCAGTCTGTAATGTTGAGTGATAGAGTTTCCTGTAATCGTGAAAATGGGAAGGCAATTCGCCTTCCGTGAGCCTGTGAGTCACTTCGCCACCCGTTTCGCCGATGGAAAACACGTAGTCCTTGAAATTGTCGGTAGTCTGTGGGAGCCGCACGCAACCCGCACCGATCACTGTACGGCCACGAAGGTCGGGCGCTCGAATGTCGGTTTCGTTCACATCTCTCAGCACATGGCATAACTGCGGGTAGACGCTGCAGTCAACAGGAGATCCATCGCAAAGCAGCCAACCCACGGGAATATCCACCCCATAAAACATTTGCACCGATCCAGTAGGGATATTACTCGCGGCCGTATCATTCAACGGTTCCGCCAATACACTTATTCGACTGGTCAGGTGCGCCGTTGACCTGGACAGACGAACTTGTGCAGTGGTAACCGTGGCAGAGTTTTGCAGCCGGGCAATGTTGATGCGCATCAATTTCATCGGTTTCACAACAAATCGCTCTCCGGCCCAGACGCTCTTTCCCGCGGCTTCCCTCACGATGGCAACAAACTGCTCGTTGTCGTTGGCACTGTCATACGCGTTTGAGTCCGCCGAGGCCGTTTGCATCGCTGCCTGAACATTGAAGGGTCCATAACCACCGCTGACATTTCCGCCAACGCTGGAACTGCTGTTCTGGCTTTTACTCAGCTCATTCCTTATTTTCACTTTCTTTTGGTCATCGGCTTTTGTGTAGAGCTCGTTCAGCTTGCTCGTCACTCGGTCGGGCCGGTTGTTCTCATCACGCCAAAAAACCGAATTCCATGTTCTCTCCTAAAAAAAGCTGCCGTGCATATAGAAGGCTTGAATTTTAATTTGTATTAATATTGTCAGATATGTGTAAATTAGAAATCTTTATTGATTAGCAACCGACGTGCCCTCACAGGCGTGTATTATGGAATTTCTCCACTACGAACCAAAATGCTGTTAAAATATGCAAAAGTGAAGGTTCAGCCTATCAGCCACGCAATGGCGAATTTAAAGAGACGAGTGTGCCGCCCCTCTCGGGATTTTTTCAAATATGAGTACTTCGAAACAATAAAGGGGGAAGTATTGCTTAGAAATGTTCAACAATTTTTGGTTAAATTTCTGACGATTTTTTGCATTGAAGCCGACTGTTTTATGGTACTTTAGTAACTGAATATAGTATTCGTGCGTGAATTAGGCATAGAGTCGTCGTACTCTACGAAGCACACATATGCTGCTACAGTGCTACGTAGTAAGTACATTTACTCAGTTGTTAGTAAACCATGCTCCAAGAAGTGCACTAGAAAAACTTGGTGTTAATTTATTATTTTTATACAATTTTTAGCGATCCCCTCTGTGAAAACGTGCGTCGGCTTCGCGCGAAAATCACTTTCCGTTTAAACTCCGTACATGGTACAACGTTGCTTCCTGCCCTTTACTTGGCGTTGCAAGAAGTTACAAATTAGTGATACTATTTTAATGGGATTTCCAGCAGTTTTTTCGGGGGAAACGCTCGCCGGCTTCGCGAAAACAATTGGCATTTGATACAATTTTTAACCCGGCATCTTGTACTGCATACAAAATTAACAGTGCTCAGTAGTTTGAAAGATTTAGATGCTTTTTCTCCCAATTGTGCTGCTTACTCGATAGCTCCCATATGAAACGGCGTTGGCATCGACAGCTTTCATTCCAATTTCTATGACCATTGAATCCTTTTAATGGTTCCTGGCTCCTACATATTTTTTAAAGCAGGCTGTTTTGGAACCAGAATGAATGCAAAAACGTTTTTCTTAATACTGACGCTGGGCTACTGAAATGCCATAAGCCATTTAAAATAGTAAACGCCCCTCCCCCTTCCCCGCATTCCCCGCAATTAAAAACATCACTTTGCGACCAAAGTTTAGTGAGGGTTTCTTACGAGTAGGTTCGCGAGCCTGAGAATGTGGAAAGGCGTCCGACCGTTGGTCACCCAACACCGTGCGCTTATATTATGTCATCGCTTAAGGTCATCTTTTGTAAACGCTGACCCGTCGGATACCTTAGCATGCAGACCCTTGATGCTAAAGTATCGGACCGGTCTTCGACCACCGCGTTACTCTTTATCACCTGAAACGATTCTGATGACTGCTGTGTCATTTGCAGCATGTCTTGTAGAATTTGGGCGATCGGGAGCGATTCTTGTTCAGTGAACGTGTCGTCCATCACCTCTGTCGCCATAACATTCGTGGCAATCTCCAATATCATTTGGTTGACATCGTTGGCCGTTAGATACACTACATCCATATTTGGAATTTGTTGTCTCAGCTGGCTATACAATCTTCCCTCCTGTATGTGCTCCGCCTGGACTTTTACTGTTCGCCGTGCACTGCGAGCAATATTGAGGCTGTAGGAAACCTTTAAGTCGTACAGAAATAACTGTGGCGTTTCCTTGATTTCCTGCACTATTTGATCACAGGTTTCACTGCTGGTGCAGCTGAATCGAAACGTAAAAGTTGGTGGCTGCGGAGAGTAGGGCATCCACTGATTAATAACCTCATAATTCGGGCTGAGATCTAGAACAATCCAAGACCTAACATAAAACTGCTGTGCGTAGAAGAGAACCAAACAACTGAACAGAAAAAGATCTATTTTTACAGTAGGTGTTGTGACCTGTCGGGACACAAATCAACACACTCATACCTCCAGAAACCTGTAGCTTCCTGGAGATGCGAGTGTCACAACGCTCCTAGTAAATACCGATACGGAAGACTGCTACTAACGCATGCGTAGCACATAAGATAGGTGCCGCTACAAAGTGCAATTGTAGCTCGCTCGCACGAATTTCTTCGACAACGTCTGTCTGTAGAGATACAGCGTGGTAACGCGGTTTCTGTTTTGGGTACGGTGGAGAAAGCGGAAATGTTTGATGAGCTGTTGTTTTTGTAACTGTTTATTTAACACGTGTTTAAGTGGTGGTTTGAAATAAAAGTATTATTATTGTAACTACAGTACAAAGTAAAAGCAATACATAATTATACTAATAGACGGCAATAGCATTAAAGGTCAGCTGCACTGTCAACTACTGTGGTGACTTGCGTACATTTTCTAATGCTACCTGCGAATACGGAATGACGTAATCTGGATGTCATTTGACCTTTTCTGTGCCCTTCGCATACGTGACACGTGCAAGTATGGGAACCCATTTGGATGCAACTGCTATTTCTGTTAATCTATGCAGTGCCGCACCCACCGCTTACCCAGGGTGCCAATGCGAAGTTCTTCGATCGGCAGCACGCCAACGCTTGCTCTGGGCACCGCTTGCTTCAGTCGTCGCCTGACGGCGTCCCAAACCAATTCCTCAAGAGCTGCATCCCACATTAGCACTTCAAAGCTGAATTCCGCCCTCTTTTTTCTCGAACTCACGTAACTCGTAGCGCTGGCCAGATTGATGATTAATGCTGGTTGAAAAAAATATTCCGGCGAAGCGGTTGAGTCCGCGTTGGTCGTCTTATTGTAAACGCTTATTCGAAGTCCTCGATAGGTTACCCATAAAATGAGGTGTAGATTTACCCCCGCGTCGTTCCAGCCGGTGCTGGCCTCATTTGCGCGGGCAGTTACCTGGGAGCTTGAACCAGCTGACTGGAAACTGTCGGCCTCATGAAATAATACAAGGAAAATGAACCCCGCGATTGCAGTGCTTAGAATCATGTCCATGACGAAAATTGTTACTTGGTGTACTGCCAGAATTCTTCGTCTGTCTTCCGATAAATGGTATGCTAATACTTAAACTCAGTTTCAAAGCAACAAGTCTAATACAATTACAAAGTACTGGCACTGGCCAAAAAAATGGAAACTGTTAGCGATAAAAGGAGCATTCACAGTGCAGACTGCAGAGTGGGAGAATGAGACGCGTCTTCGAGTGGAAATTTATGCCGCTTATCTTCGGCTGCTATCTGCGACTATCTCGTTTATTCAAGCAAGATAATATCCGTTTAGCGCTAATGGCAGATTCAGTACAGATACAAATCATAAAACGAACGCGATATTTGCCTTTCCACCGGAACCGGTTTTGTGGCCACAAGGCCCATAACCGGTTGCCTAAATGAAAGAGCCAAGACAGACATCGCCCGCTGAATTAGAAGAGATTTCTGACAGAAGATATCCTAATTTATAGACGCAGTGTTTTGTAGATAATTTCCCACATTTTTTCTCCAATTAAATCAGAGTTTTCTGCTTTTGACGTCTGGTCGCATATATATCGCAAAGTTTACATTTTCTAACGAGAGCACAGAACAGGCCGTTTTCGTATCACTTCAAATTGTAAGGGGAAAGAATAATTAGCATAATTTCAATTTGAACTTCCCAAAATATCCGTAAACTCCCGGGTCGAAGTTGTGAATGAAGAGGTGGCTGTCGTTGAGGGCGGTTGCCTGTCCGTAATAGTGAACTTTGGTGGAGTGCGGCACTATGTCGCCGTGGACGGTGGCGTTATGGTGGCGCTAGACCGGATAGGTTATTGATGTTGGCAGTCATGCGGACTTCGGCCCGATGCGTCGTCCTTGCTGCGTGCCAACGCCGCACTGCAATTCTAAGAACATGAGTAGCGCAACAACCACCGGGCGAAGGATCACGGCAGGGCTCAGCAGCTGGGTTCGGACCGCTAAAAGGGCATCCGTTCACGGCGCATCGCGATATACTGACCAGCGTCCAGCGCGCAGTGAAAGCGCGCTGTCCAATATTGCCCTGCGCGATAAATAGATTGTGTTCGCCACACACCAACGATAGACGGTCCGGTGTACGATACGATGCAACACCGTATTTTAATTTTGTCTTTCTTCTGATTTACTCCGTTTGTTAATTGAAAACCATTCGAACTTATTCTGATACCTCAAAAGTTTCGTGATTTGGCATTTGTAGCCGTTCCAATCGATGCAATCGCCACCAAGAGCGGTTGCTATTTCGCAAGGCTTAACGGTAAGCTTGACGATAGCTATCCTTTCTATCGTCAATCGCACGCTTCGGGTTTCGCTGCTTGCAGCGGCCCGGTCCTTCAGGTATCCAGCTCGTCCCAGGACTAATCAGGTTAGTCGCTCTCCGTTTGGCCGGTTTTCACGATGACTAACGACAGAGTCCCCTGCCCGTATTGCAAGCAACTGTATTGCAAAGGAGGAGGCCTAACCAGACACAAGAAAAAGTGTCCGCTACGGCCAGCTGACTCCGTGCCTTCTACTGCTCCTCCTGACACCGCTGACAATTCTGCAGGAGCGGCGCCAACGCCACCACCGACGGAAAGTTTCAAACCGTCGAAGGAGCGGGTGATGCGTCGCATTCCACACGGAGCACGTACCACGGCAAGGGATTCGCTCAGGACGGCGCTACAGCAGGTCGCCATTAAAAACGATGTCTTCTTAGGACAAACTGTTCTCCTTCGCCCCTGCCGCTCTCCGTGCCCCGCCGAAAGCCAAAACAGACCGGACAGAATCCTTGGCGACATTTGTGAAGAGAAACGTGGGTAGCTTCGATAACGGAACTCAACTACCCCCGACACCGCCCCCGCCTGCCCCCAAGAAAAGATCTGATGAGGAAGATCTTGTACGCCAAGTCGGGCAGAAAATCGACGACGGCAGCATTTCTGGAGCTATGCGGCTGATTCTTTCAACTGACGCCGTCGTAGCCCCCTCTCCCGATGTGCTACAGGAACTACGGGAGAAGCACCCAGAATGCCCACCGCCCCCGAACACGGCTCAGCCCGCCCCGCCTGTAGACGCAGCGCCACCTATAACAGCAGCTGAAGTGTTCTCCGCGGTTCACACTTTCCCTCGTGGTTCAGCAGCTGGTCCGGATGGCCTGCGTCCGCAGCATCTCCTGGACATGGTTGGCCACAAGTACAATGAACATTGCAGCCCTCTTTGTGAAGCGCTCGCCGCTGTGTTAAATTTAGCCGTCAATGGAAGTATCCCAGCCGAAGTCAGGCCTTTATTTTTCGGTGGTAAATTACTCGCTTCAGAAAGAAAGATGGCGGCCTCCGTCCGATAGCGGTAGGACTAACTCTGCGCCGCCTGGTAGCCAAGATCATATGCTATCGAGTGGCTGACCGCATTACTCCAGTTTTATCTCCACAGCAGCTTGGGTTTAACGTGCGGGGCGGTGCCGAGGCTATTGTGCATGCCACCAGAGTCTTTGTAGAATCTTCTTCACTGGAGCCGACGGCGGTCTTAAAGATTGATTTTAAAAACGCCTTTAACACAGTCTCCAGAGAAGCTATTCTCGCCGCCGCGGAACGCCACTTACCTGAATACAGCGCGTTTTTCCGATCCGCATACGGTGACCACTCATCACTATTCATCGAACAGCTGATAATGTCATCCGAGTCCGGAGTGCAGCAGGGAGATCCTCTGGGCCCGCTACTGTTCTGCCTTGCACTCCAGCCAGTCGTGGACTGCTTAAACGTTGACCTGAACGCATGGTTCTTAGATGACGGTACCATGGGCGGTAAGCCTGCGGCTGTAGCTAATGCCTTTGACCAGATTATAACAAGAGCCCGGGCGATCGGACTAGTGGTAAACGAAGGAAAGTGTGAGCTTTACGTTTCTGGTGGAACGGAAGAAACACGGAGTGAAGTGGTCGCAGAATTCCGACTGAAGTACCCAAAATTGCGCATCCTATTAAACGCCGATTTTATGCTGTTAGGAGCACCGGTTCTCGACGAAGCCATTGGCCCAGCAGTGGTTGAGAAATGCTCCACCCTAAAGACAGCATGCGAGCGTTTGGGCCTTTTACCACGTCATCACGCCCTATTTCTCCTGAAGAACTGCCTAGGAGCACCAAAAATTGTTTATATGCTCCGTTGCTGCAACGCCTGGAGACAACCGCAACAACTGTACCAACTGGATGAAGTTATGCGCAGCTGTTTTCAATCTCTCTGCAATGTGCGCACTAACCACGATGACTACCCGTGCTGGCGGCAGGCGACACTACCGGTGAGCAGAGGTGGCATTGGCAAACGTCGAGCGGAAGAATTAGCACTCCCAGCCTTTTTGGCATCGATTCACTCCGCGTCCGATTTAGTGTCAAAGCTGCTTCCTGATCACCCATCCGTGGACGCTTCTGCCCCCATGGAATTGTGGAAAGCCAGCGCACGCCTTACCGATCTCCCCGAGTCCAACTTTCGGAAATCGCAACGGACCTGGGACCTACCGCTGTGCAACGCGTTATTATCCACACTTCTTGATGTTTTCCGCCATGACGAAGTAAACAAAGCCCGACTCCTGGCTCAGTCTACACCTGAAGCAGGCTTATGGCTAAATGCCCTGCCCTCGGCACACATCGGTAATCTCCTCGATGATGACACCGTAAAGATATCTGTCGGACTGAGATTGGGCGCAACAATTTGTGAACCCCACATCTGTGCTAAATGCAACAACCCGGTCGACGTGTACGGTCACCACGGGTTGTACTGCTCCTTTTCTGCTGGGAGGCATGCACGTCACGGCGGCTTAAACAATATCGTTTGTAGAGCGCTAGTGTCAGCCGGCATCCCTGCAAAAGTGGAACCTCGGGGAACGTCCCACACGTCCGATCGACGTCCAGATGGTTGCACCACTTTTGCCTGGAAACGCGGGATGTGCCTGGCATGGGACGTTACGTGTGTGGACACGGTTGCTGTGTCACACCTAAGATCAACATCAACGACCGCGGGATCTGCTGCTGCACAAGCTGAAGAGAAGAAAGTGCGATTCTACGCGTATCTAGATGGTAGATACATCTTCGCACCGCTGGCTTTCGAAACACTTGGACCATGGGGAAAGTCAGCTACCCTTTTAGTGAAAGAAATCGGGAAGCGGCTCCAACAGCACACCGGAGAGCCTCGCTCCCACGAGTTTCTCCGGCAACGCCTGTCGTTGGAAATTCAGCGTGGCAACGCCGCTTCCGTACTCGGAACAATGGAAGGAGCGGCAGCATTAAATGAAATTTTGTTTTTGTGATTTACTCTTTCTGAAACTGTGATGGTACCGCTTTTAATGAAATAAAACTGCACATCGTCAATCCTATCGTCGAACGGTCCGGTAAGGGTACGCCATGATGACGCGCAAGAGCCTATCGTATACCGTACCGTATATCGTAAGCTTTTTTGCGCTTGCGAACACAATCTAATGGCATGCGTTATACCGTCAACAGGTACCCGGACCGAAAAACCGTTTTTCGGTTTTTTAGGTGTTTAGAACAGTCATGCAACGGCGCCGAAATTTCCATCATGATCGCAAGTATCAAAGCTGAAACAAACGTTTTTTTCCTGAAAATGTAGATCACGAAAAAGGTTCTACTACTTAAACACGAAAACATTTCCAGACTGTGCCAATACCACCCTCGCAGGAACAAAGCACAGCAAAAATGATTACGCTCTTGGCATTGTACGGTGGACGTGTATGTAAGTACAGAGCGAGCATGTACGCACAGCACAAGCCTTCGGTGCAGAACAACTTACTAAAATGAATTACATTACTCTGCCGACGCAGGAAGTTCCTGTACATACTGTAACGCACACGTAATTTTCCAGGTACACTGCGGTGCGAACTGCGGACTTCTAAACACTGATCCGCCTACCGAGTAGATTTCGGCGGCGAAGCTTGGCAGTCATCTGGAGTTCTTCGGTCGAACTGTGACACCTGTACTGACAACCTTGTCCCGTAACACTCTGGCTTAAAGGTATAGAAAGCACGTCCTTTGCGCCATGGACGATGGCCGCTACACTAGGTCTGCCACAATAACAAATCTGCTCCTCTGAGTACACCCGAATCAGTGAACGAACGTTGGTACATGATGAATTCGAAAAATTGTAATCGGAATAAAATGACGAAGAAAAACCATAACAAATCTGTATAG